TACTTTTTCAAATCTTTGAAATTTAAGAAATTGGTCGAAAAAATAATTTTTTTTGTAAAAGAGAATTTTCCAAAAGTTTGAAATTTGAGAAATTCAACAAAAAATATTACATTTTTGAGGAAAATTAATTATTTTCGCATCTCATACTCTTTCCATACTTTCCCCATACTTTTGTAAAAGCTTGAAATTTGAGAAATTTAACGAAATATATTCAATTTTTGACAAACCTTATTTTTTTCGCATCCCATACTTTCCCCATACTTTTTCAAAAGTTTGAAATTTGAGAAATTCAACGAAAAAAATTAAATTTTTGAGAAAAATTATTCATTTTCGAAACTTATACTCTTCCAATACTTTCACCATACTTTTTCAAGAGTTTGAAATTTGAGAAATTCAACAAAAAAAAATTAAATTTTTGAGAAAAATTAATTATTTTCGCATCCCATACTTTCCCTTATACATTTTCAAAAGTTTTAAATTTGAGAAATTTAACGAGAAAAATTAAATGTTGGAGAAAAACTAATTATTTTCGCATCCCATAGTCTTCCCATACTTTTTCAAAAGTTTGAAATTTGAGAAATTCAACGAAAAATATTAAATTTTTAAGAAAAATTACTTATTTTGGCTTCACATACTTCGCATACTTTCCTCATACTTTTTCAAGAGTTTGAAATTTGAAAAATTCAACAAAAAAAAATTAAATTTTTGAGAAAAATTAATTATTTTCGCATCTCATATTTTCCCTTATACTTTTTTAAAAGTTTCAAATTTGAGAAATTTAACGAGAAAAATTAAATGTTGGAGAAAAACTAATTATTTTCGCATCCCATAAGTCTTCCCACACTTTCCCCATACTTTTTCAAAAGTTTCTATTCACGGAGAGAAGAGATTTAGTCTATTCTACTAAACACGTTTAGTCCAGATTCTACTAAACAGCGTATAGTCAGAGGACTACTACAGTTCTGTCACACAAAAAAATTTACCGACAGAATAAAAATGCACAAATCTGATTGGTTGTCCACAATTAACCAGATTGCGGACAACCAATCAGATTTCTACATTTCGTTTCTGTCGGTAAATTTTTTTCTATCGATAATCGTGTAAATTTTCTTACTATCAGTATCGTTCATTTAACTGAATGTTTAGTCCGTCCAAAATGAACGATACTGTTTAGTAGATTTAACTGAGATAGTAGTAAGATCTACTACGCCCTTCTCTCCGTGTTCTATTCTATTTGTTCTAGTAGTACTTTAGCAGTATCTCTGTTGTAGTACTAGATAACCAGTGCTGAGCCGATATTGAGCCAGTATTGGCTAAAATAGATTTTCTATTTGATTACATTTTAATGTTTAGAAACAGGAATATTTAAAATTTGATTAGAAAGTTTAGATTTTTATTGATTTTTGAAAAAAATATTAAGGGAAAAAAATATTTCTGAACGTTTATTTTCAAAAATATTAATTACGCAGCCACACACAAAAAAAGTTTCGTTAACTGTGGTCGAGACATATGTATTCCTATGTATTTTGATGCGCTGAATCCGAATCCGACATCAGAATTTGTCCAATGGGTACTGATTTTGCCCTAACCTCAAAAATACCTTAAAATCGCTAAAATGGTTTCTTTTGATTGATCAAAATCAAACGCAACAACATATTAATTCAAAATAGTGGCCAAAAATCCTAACATTTGACCTAAATTGAAATTAATTACTAGAAATTTTTAGGGGTTACAAATTAAAAATTTAATGTCAAATTCGTAATCAGCGATTTCGAAAAACCCCGAGTAACGAATTTCAAACGAATCTGAATAAATGTTAAAAAAAATTGTCTGACATATTAGATCCGCCATTTTGAATTTTTAGAAACGGACATCGGATTCGTAATCAGCGACCCTAAAAACCCCTGAATAACAAATTTTATCAACTTAGGTCTAATTTTAGGATTTTGCCCGCCATATTGGATCCGCTATTTTGAATTCTTTAAACTTGACATCGGGTCCGTAATCAGCAACCTCATAAAGACCTAAGTAGTAAATTTTATGAGCTTACCTAATTTTTCTCGATATGTATGGTATAATTTGTTTCTTTGGAAACTTCGATGTATAATAAGGTTTTTTTGAGGTTAGGGCAAAACCAGGACCCATTTGCCAAATTCTGATATCGGATTCGGATTTAGCGCATCAAAATATATAGGAATATATTTGATCGGACGAATGTAAAAAGTTTCATATGTTGGATATTAAGTACTAAAGGTAGAAAGTGTTTTAGGATCAGTTTTAGGACAAAGATTAGATTGAGTTTTAGGATCAATTCTAGGACCAAAGGTAGAAAGTGTTATAGGAGCAGTTTCAGGACGAAATATAAAAAGTGTTTTAGGATCAGTTTTAGGACGAAGATTAGACGAACCATTAGGACCAATTCTAGGACCAAAGATAGAAAGAGATATAGGATCAGTTTTAGAACGAATGTAAAAAGTGTCATAGGTCGAATTTAATTACTAAAGGTTGAAAGTGTTTTAGGATCAGTTTTAGGATGAATGTAAAAATTGTCATAGGTCGAATTTAAGTACTAAAGGTAGAAAGTGTTTTAGGATCAGTTTTAGGACGAAGATTAGACTGAGTTTGAGGATCAATTCTAGGACCAAAGGTAGAAAGTGATATAGGATCAGTTTTAGGACGTATGTAAAAAGTGTCATAGGTCGAATTTAAGTACTAAAGGTAGAAAGTGTTTTAGGATCAGTTTTAAGAGGAATGTAAAAAGGGTCATAGGTCGAATTTAGGTACTAAAGGTAGAAAGTGTTTTAGGATCAGTTTTAGGACGAAGATGAGACTGAGTTTTAGGATCAATTCTAGGACCAAAGGTAGAAAGAGTTATAGGAGCAGTTTCAGGACGAAATATAAAAAGTGTTTTAGGATCAGCTTTAGGACGAAGATTAGACCAACCATTAGGATCAGTTTTAGGACGAATGTAAAAAGTGTCATAGGTTGAATTTAAGTACTAAAGGTAGAAAGTGTTTTAGGATCAGTTTTAGGACGAAGATGAGACTGAGTTTTAGGATCAATTCTAGGACCAAAGGTAGAAAGTGTTATCAGAGCAGTTTCAGGACGAAATATAAAAAGTGTTTTAGGATCAGCTTTAGGACGAAGATTAGTCTAATTATTTAGACGAATTCTAGGTTCAAAGATAGAAAGTGATATAGGATCAGTTTTAGGACGAATGTAAAAAGTGTCATTGGTCGAATTTAAGTACTAAAGGTAGAAAGTGTTTTAGGATCAGTTTTAGGATGAATGTAAAAAGTGTCATAGGTCGAATTTAAGTACTAAAGGTAGAAAGTGTTTTAGGATCAGTTTTAGGATGAATGTAAAAAGTGTCATAGGTCGAATATAGGTTGAAGTTAAGTACTAAAGGTAGAAAGTGTTTTAGGATCAGTTTTAGGACGAAGATGAGACTGAGTTTTAGGATCAATTCTAGGACCAAAGGTAGAAAGTGTTATCAGAGCAGTTTCAGGACGAAATATAAAAAGTGTTTTAGGATCAGCTTTAGGACGAAGATTAGACCAACAATTAGGACCAATTCCAGGACTAAAGATAGAAATTGATATAGGATCAGTTTTAGGACGAATGTAAAAAGTGTCATAGGTCGAATTTAATTACTAAAGGTAGAAAGTGTTTTAGGATCAGTTTTAGGACGAATGTAAAATGTCTCATAGGTCGAATTTAAGTACTAAAGGTAGAAAGTGTTTTAGGATCAGTTTTAGGATGAATGTAAAAAGTGTCATAGGTCGAATTTGAGTACTAAAGGTAGAAAGTGTTTTAGGATCAGTTTTAGGACGAAGATAGTCTAATCTTCGTCCTAAAGATGATCCTAAAACCCTTTTTAGATTTCGTCCTGAAACTGCTCCTATATCACTTTCTACCTTTGGTCCTAGAATTGATCCTAAAACTCAGTCTCATCTTCGTCCTAAAACTGATCCTAAAACACTTTCTGGCACTATAGCAACCGTTTCAGGACGAAGTGTAGAAAGTGTTTTAGGAGCAGTTTCAAGGCGAAATGTAAAAAGTTTTTTAGGATAAGTTTTAGGACGAAGATTAGACCGAGTTCATGATCAATTCTAGGACCAAAGGTAGAAAGTGTTATAGGACTTACCATGACAACTGTTTCCATGGCAACCGTTTCCATGGCAACCGATTCCATGCAAACCATTACTATAGGAACTATTTCCGTAGCAACCATCACCATAGCATAGCAACCATTGTTGTTTTTGGAAATTTTAATTTTTTTGAGAACTATGAGCTATTTTTCCAAACCGAAAAACATTCCCCCTCTGTACATGCCCTCATCACCTGGACCACTTTTCGGCTACGATTTTCCGATCACCCTGTATATGTCTCGAACTCAGATCAAGACACTTTTTTTGTCTGGTTATGTTATTTATAAATAATTTTTTTTTAATTTATGCATTTTTTCAAATTACTTTTTCATTTCATGCCTGTCAGCAAAAATACTATTTCACAAAAAGTTTTAGAGTAAACCTTATTGAATCTTTTTTTTAATTATTTTGTATATAAATTATTTTTTTAGGTAAATTTGATTGGTTTTTAATTAATTTAACTTTTCATTTTTCATTTAAATTTTCTTCTTTTAATTTTATATTGCTTCTTTTCACGTTTTTTAACCCTTTTACTGTTACAGAAAAAATTGATACTATAATCTCAAAATGTCTAACAAATTCTGGTCGACAAAATTTTATGAAACTTAGTATATAAAAGTTTTTGGGGTCTCTGAATTTAATTAAATAAACATTTTCGTGATTTTTACTTGATTTTTAATTGTGATATTAGTTAAAAATAATAAATTATTATGTAATTATTTCTTAACCAAATATCGTTGATACCTGAAGTGTGCGAATAATGATATAAAAGAATTCATTTTTTAATTTAGAAAGAAAATTTCATTTATTTTGTGTAAAGATGATTACGACACAACGTCTACATTACAGATTTATAATATAAAATGGGTGAATATACTGCACGACATTATATGGAGATGGTAATGTTGTACGGCGAACACGGGTATAATGCTCACCAAGCAGCTGCCGCATTTAGGCAGAGGCACCCTGCACTTCGACCAAACCATAATACCATTCTCAGAGTCATCCAACGAGGAAATGAGAATGGTAATTTGGTTCCTGATAATAGAAACAGGGCGGGTGCACCTAGGAGGGCGAGAAACCCAGCGAATGAGGAGAGGATTCTCCAATATATCCATCAACACCCGACGCACAGCATAAGGCAAATGGTGCGTGCCCTTCAGCTCAGTTACTGGACTGTACAACAGATCTTAAGAGGCGACGGGTAATATTTTCATGTTAAACGTGTTAAACGCTTTCCTTCTTTCTTTTTTCATCCTCTCATACAATCATCTAATTGTGCATTTCTCTTATTCATTACTCATTAATCCATTCATTGTCGCATTCTTTTTTAGGATGCAGTCCCATGACGGCTCGAATACAGAATGCAAAGTTGAGAATCATGAGAGTAATAAGGATAGCGAGATCTTTTCATCTCTTTTGCACTCATGGTTTTCAGTTTTGCACTCTGCTTTCTCGCCGTCATAGGACTGCACCCTTATCCATCTATCCAGAAAGTAAATTCCGTAATGTTTCCTGTTTTTAATTCCCAAATTCAAAGTGGGATGTAGAAAGTGTAGAGTAGGATGTGAAATATGAGAAATAGATAGTGGCATATGAAAAGTGATACATGGAAAATGGGATGTAAGAATGAGAAGTAGAAAGTAGGAAGTGAAAAGTGTAGAGTAGAAAGTGAAATATGAGAAATAGATAGTGGCATATGAAAAGGGATACGTGGAAAATGGGGTGTAAGAATGGGAAGTAGAAAGAGGGATGTGAATAGTGTAGAGTAGGATGTGATATAAGAAAAGTAGATAGTGGGATATGAAAAATAATTCGTGGAAAATGGGATGTAAGAGTGAGAAGTAGAAAGTGGGATGCGAAAAGTGTATAGTAGGATGTGAAATATGAGAAATAGATAGTGGGATATGAAAAGTGATACGTTGTAAATGGGATGTAAGAATGAGAAGTGGGAAGTGAAAGTGTAGAGTAGGAAGTGAAATATGAGAAATAGATAGTGGCATATGAAAAGAGATACGTAGAAAATGGGGTGTAAGAATGGGAAGTAGAAAGAGGGATGTGAAAAGTGTAGAGTAGGATGTGAAATATGAGAAATAGATAGTGGGATATGAAAAATAATTCGTGGAAAATGGGATGTAAGAGTGAGAAGTAGAAAGTGGGATGCGAAAAGTGTAGAGTAGGCTGTAAAATATGAGAAATAGATAGAGTAAAGTGTAAAGTAGGATGTGAAGTAGAGAGTGTCATGTAAAAAGTAGAAATTGGAAAGTAGGTTGGAAAAAGTGGAAATGTTATGGAATTGACTTAATGTCCTTAATTTCCTTTAACATCCTTGGTTCCTTTAACAGTTTACACGCTTACCATTACCGCCAAGTACAAGCCCTCCATGAAGGTGACAACGAGAGGAGAATGGCATTTTGCCGGTGGCTCGTCGCTCAACACGAGCAGGACCCGACATTTAGGGACAGGATCCTCTACACGGATGAGGCGACGTTCCCGAGAAGTGGAACTTTCAATTATCATAACAACCACGAGTGGAGGCACGAAAATCCACATCTCGCGATACGTTGCCGACACCAGAGGAGAATGTCCCTAAATGTTTGGTGTGGTGTTGTAGGAGATCTCCTTGTAAGTATTTTCAGATTTATGCATAAGATTTTAACATAAGGGTTAAAACTTCAACATAACGCTCAAGTTCTTAAGTCTTAGGACTTATGTTTTAAATAGTAAAATTCAAAATTTAAGCATAAGTTTTAAAATTAAAACTGAAATTTTTAGTAAAAATTTTAGACTTAAGCGTAAGATTTTAACATAAATCTTAAAGCTTCAGCATAAAACTTAAGGTGTTAAGTCTTAGGACTTAAGTTTTAAGCATAAATTTTAAAAGTAAAATTTTAAAATTTGTTAAGTTTTTCAGAATTAAGAATAAGAGTTGAACATAATTCTTAAAACTTTAACATAAAGCATAAGTTTTTAAGTCTTAGGACTTATGTTCTAAATCTTAAAACGTAAAATTTAAGCGTAAGTCGTAAAATTAAAGTTTAACTTTTTTTAGATTTATGCATTAGATTTTAAAATAAGACTTAGAACTTCAGCATAAAGTTTAAGTTCTTAAGTCTTAAGACTAAAGTTTTAAATCTTAAAACTGAAGTTTTAAGTATAAGCTTTAAAATTTAAATTAAAAAAAAATTTTTAGACTTAAGCACAAGATTTTAAAAAACCGCTGCTAAGTTAAAGTATGAATTTTTTGTGTTCATAAAATGAACACTTTGCTTCCCCATGGAGATTTTTTGTGATCAATTTATGGTAACTTACTTGGTATGATTATAATTTTAAGAAGGTGTTAAAGTGTATTTTTGGGTATTTGCAGAGGTAGATTTTTAATATCAATAAATTAGTAATATTTCCCAATAAAAGGTTCAATAATAGGTCAATTGATTCGTTTTTAAATATTCTCTAAGTTGTTCATAATTATTTTAAAGATACATAAATATTTTTTTATAAATAAGGCAAAAAGGCAGGTTTTTCTAAAAATTTTAATTTCTAAATGTTAATAACTCTGGATAAAATAACAGTAGGATATTCGCTAATAGGTCAAAAGATGCGTCTTGATAAACTCTACAAAACTAGGAACAAATATATGTTGGTATCAATAAATTTTTTTTAAGTTATGGGCAAAAACTATTTTCTTTGATTTTTAAAAATTGAATAACTTTCGATAGAATATCAGTAGAATGTTCGCCAATGGCTCAAAAGATGCGTCTGCAGAAATTCTACCAAATTAAAGAAAAATATTAATAGGTGTCTTAACATTTTTTTAAAGTTATGGTCAAAAAACAATTGTTCAAAATTTTTAAAATGCAAAAAAATAATAGTTAAACTTTATTCATATTGATCAAACTACTCTCATTATTTGTCCGCCAGTGAGACCTACAATTTAAAAAACATGCATCCCTTTAGCTCTTATAGTATTCGAGATATTTAAGACAATGTAGTGTATATATACACACACACGGAACGACATTTTTTAAAAATGTCATTTTTGGATTCCTGAGGTCGAAAAACATAAAGATACATAAAATAATCAAGTTCGAAAAATTTTGGTATTACAATGCTTCCTCCATGAGGAAGCAATAAGATGTAAAACTTCAGCATAAAGCTTAAATTCTTAAGTCTTAGAACTTATGTTTTAAATCTTAAAACTCAAGATTTAAGCATAAATTTTTAAATTGAAATTTTTAATTTACAGATTGGTCCTTTCTTTTTTGATGGCCATTTAAATCGTGATATTTATGCCAATTTTATCACCAACGAGTTGCCTAGATTGTTGACAGAGGCTGGACTTACGCAAGAGCAGATTAATAGAATCTATCATCAACAAGATGGTGCTCCACCTCATAGGCCGGAGGAAGTTCTTAACAGAATCCGTGTAATATTTGGTGATCGCATAATCGCTTTGGGTGCTGAGCGAGAGTGGCCTCCGCGGTCCCCAGACTTGAATGTTTTAGATTTTCATGTCTGGGGACAAGTAAAGGATTATGTGTACCGGGTGGAAATTGAGACCATCGAACAATTGCGTAATCGAATTCTCGATGGTTTTGCTACAATCACCCCTGAAATGTTGCGCCATTCAACACAAAGCGTTATCCGACGCGCGATGTGTTGCATTGAGCAAAATGGTGGAAATTTCGAACAGTTTTTATAATTTTAGAGTCACAAGTTTTTCTGAGCGTTATAATTAATAATTTATTTAAAATTTCAATTTAATAGTTTTGAATTTATTGTTAACTGTTTTTTAGGACAAAGAAGATATATATCTGCAATTTGAAAAAAAGAAATCCAGTGCAATAATGTATTTTTTATTTTTCATTAAGGGGAGGCATCACCCCCAATTTTGACCCACTTTAATTTACATTATTAAACGAGGTTCTATTTTTTTCTTGCATCATTTGGATCTTAAAAACATACAGAATAGTCCAAAAAATGAAATTTTAATTTATGACCATTTTAGAAATTAAAGTCTTAAAAAAATTAATATTTTAAATATCTATCTTTTTTTTACAATTTTGACTATTTTTCCACGCTTTTTTAATGATTCTTAAGAATTTCTCGCATGGATTTTCAAAAATTTTAATTTTTTCAAAAAAAGAGCGAAAAATATAAGTTAAAACACCATTGCACTCTCCGATTAAATATGTATCTTCTTTCACAATTTTAAGTATTTTTCATCGTCAAATTTTTTCCACGCTTTTTTAATGATTTGTCAGAATCTCTCGCATGGATTTTCAAAAATATTAATTTTTTCAAAAAATAAAAATTCTAAAATGGTCAAAAATTTTCTTTTTTTGGCCACTTTATATGTTTTTATGACCCAAATGATGCAAGAAAAAAAATATAACCTCATTTAATAATTTAAATTTAAGTGGGTCAAAATTGGGGGTGGTGCCTCCCCTTAAATCATAAAATTAAATTTTGAATTGGAAATACATTATACTTAAAATTTGTCCTAAAAATAAGTGAAATATATCAATATCGAAATATGAATTTTCGATTTGGATATTTAGTTTTTCTTTTTTTGACTTTTATGTGTAGTAAAGCAAACTTATTCACTTATCCTTCTCACTCTTTTATCTCGATGAACACGCCACCAACTGGGATTGAAGTGCAACTAAAAATTGTAGACACATAATCTTTGCAGATTTTTACCTCCTCTCCGCGGGGTCCCACACGTCCCACTTGTTACAGGGCCGACTTCATTCATTGTGAAGTTGTAGATTGTATTACTCTCTCTGTATAGTCTTCAAATTTGAAGTAGTGACTTACTTTTTCCTTTTGAATTAGTTAAATTTTACTATAATTTGATTTTTTCTACTATTAATTTGTTAAATTTTACTAATTTGATTTTTGTTCACTATTAATTAGGTAAATTTTACTGGATCAGAAGAAGGTAGCCTTCAAAGGCGAAAAAAATAGAAATTTAGGAAAAAAAGTATTATAGTTAGTATGGAATGACCCCAAAAAAATCCAAAAAACGGTTATAAATTTTGAAGACATTAACGGATCGTTAGGAAACTTGGTAATTATGTTATTTGCGATGAATAACAGTAATTCAAGGTGGAAAAATACAATTTTAAGAAAAAAGTTTTTAATTATTACGGAATGACCCAAAAAAAATCCAAAAAACCGTTATAACTTCTAGAATAATTAACAGATTATTATGAAACTTCGTAATTATGTTCTTTGCTTTGAATGAAACCATTAAATGTCAGAAAACATACAAATTTAGGGAAATAGTGTACAATTATTATGGAATGCCACCTAAAAAATTCAAAAAACAGTTATAACTTCTGAAAAAATTAACGGATCGTTATATAACTTGGTACTTATGTTATTCGCGATGAATGACACTATTTAAAGGTGTAAAAATACAAAATTTAGAAACAAAAGTTTATTATTATTACGGAATGACCCAAAAAAATCCAAAAAACAGTTATAACTTTTGAAAAAATTAACGGATCGTTATGAAATTTGGTAATTATGTTCTTTGTCTTGAATGACACGATTTAAAGGCGGAAAAAATAGAAATTTAGAAAAAAGTTTATAATCATTATGGAATGACCCCAAAAAAATCCTAAAAACCCGTATAACTTCTAAACAAATTAACGAATCGTTATGAAACTTGGTAATTATGTACTTTGCTATGAATGAAACAAATTAGTGGCCGAAAAAATACAAATATGGAAAAAAAGGGTTTTATTACTACGGAATGACCCTCAAAAAATTCAAAAAACGTTTATAAATTATTTTCATTTATCAATTTAATTTTGAAAAAATCTAAAATTTCTATTTTATAAAAATTATTCTAGAATAGAAATACAATAAATAAAGAGAGTGAGAAGTATATGTTTAAAACAGATTTTTTATTCTACAGTTATTCATAATTCTTAAAAAAAATCCCTATATTATTCTAATTAGAAATATTGCGATTTCTATTACTACTTAAAATTATTGTGTACCATTATCATTGAATTTCAATTTTTAAAATAATTTTTTCTGTCAGAAAATTATTTACTTATTAGTTGTTTCAAATCACCCTGCATATTTCATGCGTATATTACACGGAACCATAATTACACTATTGCTTAAATTATCTTCTGCTCTTTTCATTCTTATTATTATATTTATTTTCTCTCTCTTTCTAGAGCAGTCATTTTTTTGAGTCCAACTAATCGACTGTATTTTAACTTTGAAAAAATGTTTAGAAAAACATAAAAAAAATTGTAAATGTTTAATTTATTGTTTTTATTTTTAATTGTGCTTTTTAATAAAACTTAATTTAAAAACCACTGCCAAGTTAAAGAATGAACTTTTGTGTTCATAAAATGAATATACTTAATAATAATTTTAAAGGCGTTAAGTCTTATTTTTGGGCGTTTGCAGATTGATTTTTAACATCAATAACTTCGTAATATTTTACAATAAAAGATTCAATAATAGGTCATTGATTCGTTTTTAAAAATTCTCCAAGTTGTTCATAATACTTTAACCCTTTCGTGCCCCCGGGCAACCTAGCTTATAGATTTTGTTGAAACTCGTCACTCGGGGGTTTATGGGGTCGCTGATTTCGAATTTGAATTCAGATTTTGAAAATTCAAAATGGCGGATCCAATATGGCGAAAAAATTTTCAAAATTTTATCTGTTTTCCTTAAAACTCATCACTCAGGGGTTTTTGGGGTCGCTGATTTCGAATTTGAAGTCAGATTTTCAAAATTCAAAATGGCGGATCCAATATGGCGGAAAAATTTTCAAAATTTTATCTGTTCCCCTTAATAGTCATCACTCGGGGGTTTTTGGGTCGCTGATTACGAATCTGAAGTCAGATTTTCAAAATTCAAAATGGCGGATCCAATATGGCGGACAAATTTTCAAAATTTTATCTGTTCGCCTTAAAACTCATCACTCGGGGGTTTTTGGGGTCGCTGATTACGAATCTGAAGTCAGATTTTCAAAATTCAAAATGACGGATCCAATATGGCGGACAAATTTTCAAAATTGTATCTGTTTTCCTTAAAACTCATCACTCAGGGGTTTTTGGGGTCGCTGATTTCGAATTTGAAGTCAGATTTTGAAAATTCAAAATGGCGGATCCAATATGGCGGAAAAATTTTCAAAATTTTATCTGTTCCCCTTAAAACTCATCACTCGGGGGTTTTTGGGGTTGCTGATTACGAATCTGAAGTCAGATTTTCAAAATTCAAAATGGCGGATCCAATATGGCGGACTAATTTTCAAAATTTTATCTGTTCCCCTTAAAACTCATCACTCGGGGGTTTTTGGGGTCGCTGATTACGAATCTGAAGTCAGATTTTCAAAATTCAAAATGGCGGATCCAATATGGCGGACTAATTTTCAAAATTTCACCGGTTTCCCTTAAAACTTATCACTCGGGGGTTTTTGAGGTCGCTGATTACGAATCTGAAGTCAGATTTTCAAAATTCAAAATGGCGGATCCAATATGGCGGACAAATTTTCAAAATTTTATCTGTTCCCCTTAAAACTCATCACTCGGGGGTTTTTGGGGTTGCTGATTACGAATCTGAAGTCAGATTTTCAAAATTCAAAATGGCGGATCCAATATGGCGGACAAATTTTCAATATTTTATCTGTTCCCCTTAAAACTCATCACTCGGGGGTTTTTAAGGTCGCTGATTACGAATCTGCAGTCAGATTTTCAAAATTCAAAATGACGGATCGAGTTTGTTCAAAAAATTTTTAGAAATTCTTAAATTTTTCTCACTTTCAAATCAATTGTTTGCAGCGGTGACGGTCTTCCACACCACCTAAGAGGTTCCGAATAAGGCGCGTTAGGTTTTTTTTACAGTGAACCTTCGCCAAGAACCCTATTTTAACAAGGTGGATGAATTTCATTATCATGTGAATCGCGCGAATTTTCAAAATCGATGTAAGCTTTACATATAACAAAATACAAAAATTTGTAATATGTAAGAAATTAATTAAATATAATTTTAAGATGGTGATTAAAATAAAATTAATAATTTCAATATAATTAGTTTAATAAAATAATAATTTTAATAACCCCCGATTGATGAGTTTTAAGGGAAATCGGTGAAATTTTGAAATTTATCCGCCATTTTGAATTTTGAAAATCTGACTTCAGATTCGTAATCAGCGACCCCAAAAACCCCCGAGTGACGAATTTGAAGAGAACAGATAAAATTTTGGATATTCGACCGCCATATTGGATCCGCCATTTTGCATTTTGAAAATCTGACTCCAGTTTCGTAATCAGCGACCTCGAAAATATTAAAAGTCAATGTGTTGTTAAAAACGGATGAAGCCTAAATGAATGACTTAACATTATTGATATATAACTTTTGTTAATTTTTTATCAATGTTGTACCTATTGTTTAAAATAATTATAACTGTATTATACTGTTTTCTATTTTTTAACATATAGTAATAACGATTGTCAATAAAACTATCCATTGGAATTACTGATTGGGTTAAATTTGTAAGATTTACATCAAATTTTGTTAGTGGTACATATATGTACCGGAGGCACGAAAGGGTTAAAAGTTACATAAAGACTTTTTAACAAATAATAAAAAAATGGCAGGTTAAAAGGTTCAAAAGTCAATAAAGCAAGTAACTGTTTATTATTATTATTATTATTATTTATAAATTTAAATTTAAAACTTTTTTATTGACAATCATTTCTTGGATCGTAATCATCGTCATTGTTTTTTTTATATTTTTTTTTTGGTGCTGGTCTCCCTCCAAACAAATTCCTCAATTTTTCAATTTTCTTCTTCTTTTTTTCTTCTTCAATTAAGTCCTGAAATGTTTTTTAAAAGTGTTCTATTGAGTGTTTTTTACAGAACTTGGATTATAAGACTGAAATCAGCAACATTTAAAAAACGAAAAAATAAAAAAGTACCCAATCAGCAAGTAATATTACCTTAATATCAGTAATATTACATGAAATATTCTTAATATTACAGTAAAAATAAAATGTCCGCCACATGATAATATTACAAGTTATATCTAGGTAATATTACCAGTAATAATGGGGTACACGGAGAAACTTTAGTTTGTAAAATTTGACATTATAATAATTATTTTTACAAAAAACCAATAGTAAGAGAGGATGAAGTGATAAAAATGACATTATTTTCTATTACTGTATTACAAAATACATTTATCGGTATCATTTAAAAGTATAGTATATTATTAATAATTACAAAAAGGAGTTGGAATGATTAATAAAAGCTATATGAATTGTAAATTAGGAAAAAGAGATATTCACAAAAAGAATTT